AGTTGCACAACTATAATTAATACAAGTAAAAATAGTTTTATTTGCTATAATACAAAAACTTTGTAAGTTATCTATTAAAGAGGCAGCAAATGAAAATAAAGTGAACTGCAACAGACTCACTCACCCAAGTTTCAGAGAGAAAGAGCACATGTAAAGTTGAAAGGGAGGGGAACTCAGGAGTGAGATCTGATTGCTGTGCAAGAAAGGGGCCAGGAGTCAGACCTGAAAGGAGAGAGGGCTAGAAAGAAAAAAGGTGAGGTCAAACAAATGGAGAGAAACTCCAAGAAGGAGCCTGAAAACTGGGTCGAGACTTTGTATTAATCTCTGAAATAGATAGGGAGCCAGGTTAAAATTTGAGGTGATGTGTTCCTAATGAAGAAACAATCCTCCACATTTTAAAAATCAATGAAAATTACATCTTCTATACAAAGAATTACAGTAATCCAGATGACAGAAGATAATATGAATCATTTTTTATAAGAGGAGCAAGTCCTGAAGCTTTTCAATACAATAGAGAAATGTATACACCTTGGATATGAGGGATGTAGAAGAATTAAGGGTCAAGATGAGAACAAAATCAAGATTTATAAAAAAATGGATACCAATTGGAAGGGATATTAAGGGGATGTACATTTGGCTCTAAGGGCTGCTGTTAATCAATAGAATCTGATTTTTGGATATGCCTAGCTGAAGGATGCTAAATTCCATACTACAACTATACATACAGATCTCTTCTACCACAAATCTGTATATTAACGGTTATCTCAGGAAATGATAGAGTTGTTCAATATTTTTCAACTTACATGTCAAACAATATTTTTATATCCAACAACCAAAAGATCTTGCACTGTCTACTACAATGTTATGACATTTATCAAGGAATACAAACTTCAGGATATCCTCTCCAAATACATAACACCATTTAACACGCCTGATTAATGGAAGGAAGTCTTGCCCAAAATGAACTTAAAAACACATTTGGTATTTTTGAAGACTATTTGGGATGCTAAATTTACATAAAGCTCTTGTCAAGCATTTCATTACAGTATTAAGAAAAATGAAAATGGTAGACTTTTACTCCAAAGCCTAGACTACACTGAGAAAGGGTTGCTGGGTATAAATATACCAACAGAATCTAAGTGAAAGCTGCATCTACGCTTTTTTTTAGCAGTGTTTCTGCTAGTATAGCTTATACCAGGACCCCAAACGAAATGCACTACATCAGCTAAATCACTTTTATGAAGGAATGACCAAATCTACACGAAGGCTTTCGCCAGGACATAAATGTCACCAAAAAACACCCTTAACTGATATTGCTTATAATAGCAAAAGTTTCTAGCATAGACCTGGCTCAAGTGTTCCGATTTAGTGTCCTTTGAAGAACTCAATTTAGGGCTTCACATGCACAGACAGGTATTAGTCCTCCTTCCCACCAAGTTTTGTCAACTGTTCACACTGAAGTGGTACCAGTACTTTTGTAACTATTGAGAAAATCTAAGATGTTCAGCTCCTAAAGTCAAGAGTTTTTAATGGATGCATTAAGAATTACAAGGGATGACAAAACAATATGTAAAGTTTAACCATTAGTTTACTAGAAGGAAAACCATTCACATCATCAAGATTTTCTGATATACCTACTGGATACTGAGGAGTAACAGTATTTTAGTGTTGGCAAATGATATGAACCTGCAGTTAAACACTTGAGCTGGCTGGTAACACAGTATTCCCTTCCTGCTTCTTCTTCCCCTGGACAAGGAATTTAGCCTTTATTAGAATTTATTTTCGCATTTATTTTTAAACTGTGAAAGCTCTTAAGTTATACTACTTTCTATGGCTTCAGAGCAAACATTACTTTCAAAACAGGAAAGAAATAACAGCCAAGGCTTCTTAGAAAGAGATCCAGCACTGCGACACAGTGGGCAAGAAGCTACTGGATGGATGAGCAGAGAAATGAGGTTTACTAGTGCAACCCAGGTGAACACCTTTTGAATTCTCCCAATGCATTTTGTGAATCCCAATAACTTCCTTTTTTGTATACATTCTGAAAACCAATTAACTATATAGTCTTGGTACGTAACAAAAACACAATTGGGGATAAATTATGGCTTCTGTATGTTGAAAATATTTGACATCTGCTAGTTTCAGCTCTAGCAACTCAACTAGACTCACCACTGCTCTTAGGTCTCCAACCTGCCAAATCCATATTTTAAATTAACACTGAACCAAATAAGCCAACAGTGAGAAATATACAAAAAGAATCCCCTTCATGCTTGCAAGCAAAGTGAAATAGCCAAAACAATTTAGAAATTTCTGACTCCTCACTTTATGAGCACATAATGAAGTTTGCAATCTAATATTTAGATTACTGCAGAAAAAAAATGTAATGTTCCTAGTAAATAATTAAAGTAAGATCAAAAGCATAATGCAATAATTATCCTAGGAGCGGGGCAACACACCCCTTTCTATAGCCGGGACCTACCACACTACACAACATCACTAATTCAAAGTTACTTGGGGAAAAGAAAGGGGAAAAGCCTTAAGATATAGTAGAAACTGAAGTTGTGGTGTTTATGGAAACAGGTTGACATGAGACAAAAAACAGTCATGCAATGGAAGTGAAGGAATATAACCCACAAACGATGGGTTTTGACTTAAAGAAACACTAATATTCAACTTTACAAGATAAGTGCGCTTGTGAGATGAATGCATAATTATGCCCAGGTAACAAACATAGTACTGTGCCTCAAAGCCCGCAATGTTAATATGTTACTTAACATGAGAACCCAGAGTAAAGAAGTCTTCATCAATAACTATTGAGTGTAATTTCATATGAAAAATTGACACTATCCAAAGCCTCTGCATTACCTGTTGAATGAAGTAAAGTTTGAGTTTATACAAGTCTTATGAACAAAGTACATTCTGTTTTGTCCACTATGTCACATCTGAACTCCTAAGAAATAGTTAAAATATCTGTAGTAAGTGTTTGATCCGACCTATACAATGATTCCTCAACTATTAAGTCGCCCAATGCTCCTGATTAAAATGCTCACATTATATTAAATATATTGAGCATCTGCACTTGTTAAATAGAAATAAGCTCCCTGTAGCCTGGCACAACCAGTGTTTTTATACTTTCAATCAAATACATAAAAAGTTTCCACCTGTCCAACTATTCTAAACAGTATCCGGATTCCCTCCTCCCCAAAAAAGCCTGAAGTCAAATTTGGAACTTTCCACACAATGAAGGGGGGGACGGGGGATGGTATGATTTTGAACTAAAACAATTTCCCTGTTGAATGATGAACTTGACAGGGAAAGGAAATATAGGAAGGCTACTGAATTCAAGTACTTGCTTTCTAAGTAATGCTAAAAATCAACCACTGGTCTGAGGAGGTGGAGGAAGAGGAACTCCCTTCCTATCTCCCTCTTCTATTAGAGACTGTACCTGTTGATTTTGGGACAGAAATGCATTACCCCTCTTTCACAGTCTCTGTAACACTGCCTATGCCTTAATGTGCTCTAAAAGTTCTCAGCAAACTTTTTTTTTAAATTATACACCAATTAAAACTTCATTAATCCAGAACAAAGAAAAGATCAGCAAAAAATCTTTTTAATTAAGAGGATTCCAGTTAAACCAGTGCACAACTGAAAGCTAGACATTTAAACATCTTGTTTACTGTCTGATGGCCAGCCATTTTTTACTTATTTTCCTGGCAGCTCAATCAATTACAATGAACAAGAAAACTGGTGCCTACAAGGAACAACAACCTTAACTAGACAATGTATGGCAGGGGGAGACAGAGTTGGGGGAGTCCCCGAAGTTTTCTTTTGGCTAAGAAGTCTAAAAGCGAGTTTTGAGAAGCAACTAGGGGCAGGCTGCTCAGTACTCTCAAAGCAAAATGACCAAATATTTATCTGCTTCTTAATAAGAGGCAGTGAAAAGAAGAACAGCTTATTGTTAATTTCCAGTACAACCAGTTTACGTTTGCTGGGGATTGGGACACCCAAAATTTACACCCTCTAGCTTGGTTTCAAAGCAACTATGGATTGTTCCTCCCTAAAAAAAAAAACTGTTAAAAATCCTTGCAGGATTGCAAAGAACAAGCCCCCTTCATCTTCACAACCCAATAAACCTACATGGGAATTTCAGACATTTTGGCCTCACAGCAAAGAAATGGGAGATGCAAAATGAACTGCGCTCCATATTGATTCTTAATGCAAATAAGATGAAACGCTATGTGTTTGCATCAAGATAAAAAGGCTCTTAAAAAGCCCTACAACATCACTAAAATCTGCAATCTAGGTCTTTAAAAACTAAGACTAAGCTAAATTTCTAACAAAAAACAGAACCACTCTTCCTCAGAGAAAAGATAGGGTAAGAAAGGGTGAAGGGAAAAGGTAAAAAAGTAAATAGAATAACCAGAATGCAAACAAGGGCTAAAATGAGGAATGGAAGAGAATTCAATCCCTTATTTAGAAAAAAAAGTGATAAAAATCCTTACATATAAGCCGACAAACATTAAGAGAGAGGTGTGTGTGTGTGTGTATATATACACACCTCTCTCTCAATGTTTGTCGGCTTATATGTAAGGATATACACACACACAGTTAAGAGTGATTAAGAGGATGCTTGTGTGCACTATTTTATGCATATAATCAGAATTTAGATAGATATATGAGAGAGTGCTTGATATAATTATTACAACGAAAAGGATGAAAATGGTAAAATTGTTAGTCTTTTTCTGCAAATGGCCATATGCATAATAAACCAAACAGCTTTCCTTTCAATCACGTCCAACAAATAAAGGACAAGAGCAATTAAATACCCTCCGAGGAGATTATTACACATAGGTGCAGAGGAAAAAGGGGTACAAATGGAAAGACAGTAAGGGGAGAGAAGAAGTGGAGCTGGAAAAAAAAGATGGGGAAAAGAAGGCGAGAGAAAGGGTTCTAGGTGTACAGCTGGAATATAGGAGGGGGTCTGGGCCCCTGAGACTGACCTGTGCCGTCGCTTGCGGACACGGAGAGCGCCGGTGAGGAGAGTTTAGGCCGCTTGGCTGAAGGCGGGCCCGGCTCCACCACATTCTCGGCCATTTTTAATTCTTTTTAGACAAACACAACGAGCAGAGAGACGGGGGATCCCCAAAATCTTCGCCTTCCTCTCGGGCCCCCGACGCAGCTGAAGACTATGGAGAGCGAGCGACGGATCTGGAGGACGCGGGGGGCCAAGTTCCCCTTTTTCTGCCCCTCGGGTTTGGTCTCTGGTAGGGTGGCACCGGCTCAGCGGGGGGGAAAGGTGGGGAGTAGGGTGGGGAAGAGGCCTTTTCCCCCGGGCCACGGGCAGAGGGGACGGGAAGAACACGGAAAGCGCCCCCGCCAGAAAAAAAAAGGGGGGGAGAGAAGAGGCTGGTGGGTTTTTAGTCAAATTAATCCCGGCTGTTGTGCTGCTGGTGCTTCCTCATCTCTGCCACCATCATCTTCATCCTCCGGGGGGTCTCCTCCTCCTGCTGCCGCCTCACCGCCGCCATCAGCCTCTTCCTCCTCGGCGTCGTTCTCCTCCTCCTCATCGCCACAAGGAGGCGGGCGAAGGAGGGGAGAGGAGGAGGAAAAAGGAGAGAGAGAAAAAATCACCCTCCTCTAGCAGCTCCTTCCCTGTCCAACACCACCCTGCAAAAAAAAACAAAAAAAAACCCACCGCCCGCGAAGGGGCTGGAGGGGAGGAAGACAGCGCGTGTGCGGGGTCCCCAGCGCCCCCTGCTTCTTCCTCGCCAGGCACTAATGGCTGCAGAGAGGGGAGCTGGAAGGATGAGGAGGGTGAGGATAAGTCCCAGGAGTCTCCGCTTCACATCTTGTTGTGCGGGGAAGAAGGAGGGGTTGTTGTCCTGATGGAGGCAGCGCCGATCTCGGGGTGGGGGTGCAGGGGCGGGTTTCAGCGCCCCCTCCGCGCTCTCTCTCAGCCCGAAGAGCAGGGTGCCCCCCAGAGCAAGCGGAGGGACCGATCCCAAAGCAGGAGGAGGAGGAGGAGGAAGAAGCAGCCGGCCCCTCCCCCCTTCTCTCGCGCTACCTTCCCCCTCCCCAGTGGCTGAGGATGGTTATTAGCGCTGGGTTTGGGCAGGGCGGGGGGTGTTAGGCTCCTCTCTTCTCCCACCCCCTGCGCTCGGCGATGGTCACTCTCCGCTTCTCCCACTGCCGCTCAGGCGCTGCTGGGACGCCCTCTCGCCTCCGCCATAGGGGGCGGGGGCCCCAACGGGGGTCCAGACGCCTCCCAAAATACCGGGCCAAGAGGGGAAATCTCCCCTTGTGGATTAAACAGACCGCGGGGGGGGGTCTCCTCTGCTCCGGGGCGGGGTAGGACGGGGCTTTGAGCGAGGAGGCCCCTAGTGCCCCTGCCTGGCTCTCGGCGGCTGGCTGTGGGGCTGGTGTGATGTACGTGGGGGATGGGTCTCGGACTCTCTCTTCTCTCCCCGTTCCCCGCCCGGGCCCCTGGGTCTCTCTGCGCTGCCCGCCCTCTGGCTCGCCCCGTCCGGCTCGGTCTCTCTCGCCCTCCCTCAGTCGCTCACACACAAACAAAATGGCGGCTGTTGTTTCTTCACTCTCCCGAGTCCTCACAGGGAAGCGAGCGACGGCGGCCGGAAATGAGCCAAGAGAAAAAAGGAGGCGGGGCTAGGGGTGGGGGCGGGGCTGCGCGGAGCTCGCACTCACAATGGAACACGGGGGGTGGAGGCTAGAATGGGGGGGAAGAATCAGGGGCGTGGCTAGCTGCAGTCACGAGACCAGGCCGACCACTCAGCGTGCGTTGCTCATCTTTCCCTTCCGCAAACTCCCTCACCTCCGCCTCTTAAAGGGGAAAGAGGAGGAGGGGAAAAAAACATTTCTCTCCCCCCCACACCCACACCGTGAATTATTAGTCGGCGGAAAAATGCAGCGCGGTGGTTGCTTGGGACAGGCCTGTTGTAATCCTACAGCTGAGGCGCGGGGCGGGGGGGCGCAACCTGGAGCAGGCAGCTCCTCTGCTGCACAGCGGGGCGGGGACACGACAGCCCGCGGCGCGGCTCCCCCTGCACGGCATACACTGCATAGACAAAGGCCCCACAGCTAAGCCCCTGATTTAGGGGCGTGTGGGGGGGAGATTTCTCAGGTGTAAGCAGAGCAGGACTTGGCCCATTTTTTATGTAGGTTTCTACACAGGCAGCTGGGTATACGTGTGATAAACTGTCTGCACCTATATGTATATTACATCATTGTGCTACCTATGGTTGATAAAATCATCGTGCAGGCGTGTGATGCAAAGCTGTGTCTAACCAGCCTTGCAAAATCCCACCTTCCTGCTTGCCTGGGAGAAGCAATTTTATTTATTTAAAATACAGGCATGGACACTTTTTTCTCCACCATTATCATCATCGGCGAGCACAGCTTCATAGATTTTTGTACTGGGACTGATATGCCTTTATGACAATTTTGCAAGGTTGGTTTCTCACAAACACAAATTCTGATCTCACCTACTCTACTGTACAATGTTATTTACTATGCATCAACATTGTGTTTTGCTCTACCCCGCAGCCAGAGGGCTCCATGCATGCAAAACAAGTTGTAAGAGCTAGGCCTAAAAGACAGGCAAGAATGTATCCAGGGATACAAAATCTGGTGATAACTCAGAAGGGGGAGTTGTTTGGTTAAATAAAAACATTAGTGTCTTCTTCTTTCTTGCCACTTCTCTGTTCAGGGTAAGCAACATTTATTGCCTTCTTTCAAACTCATAACTGTACACCTGGCTGTCAAGCAAATTAGTATTTTTGTGGTTTGCTGATATCTGGTCCATGTACCATGTCTTTGTCCTCTCCCTTGGTCATCTTCCATCCAAGATCAGCACAAGGGCCATTCTACCAATATAACTCTCAGGTCTCTGCTGAACATGTCCATACCAATGTAGCGTAGCCTCCCTCAACTTGTCTTCAGTTGGGACAACCCTCATTAGCCCCGTTACAACCTCAGTTCATTTCCTCTCAAGGAATGTCCAGTCATCTCACCATCTCAACATCTTAATTTCCATAATGGAGAGCATACTGATTTCTTTTCTTGTGGAGGGCCAGGATGCTGTTCTGTACATTAGGATGGGTTGAACTACAGTTTTACACACTACCTTTTAAATGTATTGGTATATTTTTATCACAGAGAACTGAGGTCAGCTCTTACCATTTGTACCAAGCAGCTTTGATATGATGCCAGGCATCATGTAGGAGGGAACCATTGTCAGCAACCATTGATCCTAGGTATTTAAATTATTTCACTCTTCTACACTGTCTGCCTGCAATATTCTTTGTGGTGGGTCCTCCTCCCTCGGTTATCAAAGCCTCAGTCTCACCAAAGTTCACTGTAAGTCCCACTTGTTCAAAGTTGGTTTCCAGTGTCTCACAATCTTCTGCACATATCACTAAGTCACCAGCGAACACTATATTCCAGGATGACTCCCTTCATATATTCCCACTTATCACATCTATGAAAACCACAAACAAAAAAAGGCTCCAATGCTGACCCCTGATGCAGGCCATTTACTGGAAATGCTTGCTGTAGCCTCATATGGTTTGGACTGTGATAGTCACTCAATCACACATAACCAGATCAAACGGATATATCCTTCTGGCACACCTCTCCATTGCAAATTCCACAAAACTCATTCTCTTGGTACATAATCATATGCCTTCTCCAAGTCCACAAAGACTATACCCAGTTGCCACCCCTTTTTTCTCTGAGCTTCTCCTTGAGGATTCATAGAATGATGGCATAAATTTTACTCCTTCCACAAATAAGTCCCTACTAATCCTTCCAGCTTTCAACTGATCCACACAAATGCTTTTCAGTAATCTTCTCCCACATTTTCATAGGATGTGATTTCAGCTCAATTGGGCAATAATTAGCATACAGTGTAATATCTCCTTTATGTTTTAAAACAGGCATGTAGCAGGGTGGTCACCCGCTCCAGCCCTAAAGGGCTTAAAACAGCCCAAGAGAGGGCTGTGGCTGGGAGCAAGCAGTTCCCAGGCTGTTTGGGGACGCAGGCTCAGCTGTGGCCATGCCCCAATCAGGGCTCAGCTGGCCCTTATAAGAGGGCAGGGGCCCCAGAGCAGACAGTGTCCTCTAGCTGTGGAGGGAGATGGGTGCTGGCCTTGACTGATGGGGTGTGTCCCTAAGGTGAAGCAGGGTTGGGGGAAGGCCAGAGGAGCTGGGGAGCTTTGGCCTGCAAACCCCCCAGACTGCAGGCCTAATGTAAGGCCAAACAGGTACTGGGGTTGTAGGGAACAGCCCAAGGCTAGACAGAGGCAGCAGGTCCAAACCCCCCTTGCCAGTGATGAGTGGCACTTCCACTGCAGTCTGCCCCAGGGAGGGGGGGCTAGCTAATGACTGGCAGTGGCCATACTGAGGTGAGGTGGGGATAGTGGGTGGGGGTTCCCCTGGGTGGGGAGACCCAGAGAGTGGGTGCACTGCTAGGGGGCAGCACCCAAAGACAAGGGGCACTGGGTCTGGGAGGGGCATGGGGGCCAGTGGCAAGCAGGACACGGGCCTGCAGAGGGTGCTCTGGGTCAAAAGAGCTAATTCCCAGGATGACCAACAGGAGGTGCCACAGGGGTGAGTCACCACATTGCTACAAGGCACCATTTACACCATTCATCTGACAATTTACACCACTTTACACCATTCATCCAACAATTTCTTTTTCTTGAGAATATCATTGAACAGACTTGTAAAATACTTGACACTTTCCCTTTCCAATGATGTCAGCACATCCACCAGTACTTCATCAGTCCCAGGTGCTTTCTCCTTTTCTTTTTCATAAGTGCCTCTACATCCTCTTCCTCCTGTATGCAATCTATCACACCACAGGCTGGCTTACAGATTCTTGGATTCTCCTCATTGATCACTCTTTCAAAATGATCAGTCCAGACTTTGTTGATTGGTTCACCATTCATTTGCAATAACCATGTTAATTTCTAATATAAGCAAACTCTTTTACATCCCTTATCGTTTTCTTTCTCGCCTAAGCTTGTAGATGGTCTGTTCTCTCTCAT